TATAGGAACTCAGTACAGAAATTTTAATAGTGCCTTTTAAATACATATTTTCTCTTTTCGAACTTGAAAATTGTAAAATAACTGTTAAATCTTAAAAAAAGGGGTTAAGTAGTTAAGGATTCCTCCACCGTACAACGCTTTTACTTTTGAGATAATGTTATCTTTTATTACTGGAAATCATTTATATTTTTTTCAGCAGTGATAAATAATAAGCAAAAAAGTAATCTGCGATCTGCAAATTAAAGCGCTTAAAATATTCTTCTCCCGCAGCTTCAGTTAGTAGCTGATCCAGTTTAATGTGGTAAGTTATGATTATTCCCAAACTTCTTACCGCCACAAATAGTCTTGGAAAGACAATAAAATTCCCTAGATTAAATGAATACACCAGTGGCAATTTGCTTTATCCATGAATAAGCCGAAAGTACGCTCACTTGCAAACTAAGAGAATTGGCAAACTATGTCAATTTTTGCGAAATTTTTGAACCAACTTACTAATTATGCCACCAAAGAATTATGCTGATATTCAGAGTAGAATACGTAAGTATACACGTGCTTGTCTGCGGAGCTTTGATTGTAGAGGGGATATAAGTGCATGAGAAGTTTTCGGCGATTCGATTTGTGTGCTCGTACACTTTCACGACATGCATCGTGTTTCTTGCAAGAGTTGGGTAAATTTTATAAGGTACCAGGTAAAATGAGTATGGATGACCCGAACGTATGGATGACAGAATGAGATGGAGAATTGTAGGTAGACTGGCACAATCACAAGCGCAAGCTCAGAGCTCAATGTAAGGCCCCTTGCCGTCTGCAAAATTTGTCGAAACAGTTTCAGGATACTAGATCCATATAGAGAAGATCTGAATAAGATCGACCAAGATCCACAGTGACGAATGAGTATCTTTATTTGGAACCTTCAACGCGGCGACGTAGGGAAACTACAGCTTTACAGCTCTCACGTGAGCTATGTTTTGCCACTGGCACCCGAGTTTCATGCTCTTAATTTATTTGAAGACTTCATGAGATAAGGCTATATGCCAGAAGACCCATTCTTTACGTGGCAGTCACAAGACAGCTCGTTTGGCATGGTGTGGAAGAGCACCTTGGACCAGAATTCAGTGGCGTACCGAGAGAGCGGTAAAGTCGCTGAATATTGGTTCAGTCAGGAGTTCGAATCCCCACGAACTGGTTAGCTGTATGGGCGTTTTCGTGTTTTTCCCCATGAGTAACGTATATACAAGCCAGTTTCCCTTAGAAAGTCCTCCATAAAGACATCCCTGCTCATAAGCAGATAGCCCTCGAGTGCTTTGTCGTAGTTAAATAAACCAAACCATAGCAGCACCGTGCTTTTTACAGATGAATCAAGATTCAGCCTGGACACCGATTCTCAACGTGCCTCCACCTGAAGAGAATCTGGAACATGTTACCATCCTTTCCTCATCAAAGAAAAGGATCATTACGGTGGTATAATGGTTTATGCAAGTATTATGTTGGACGGCCGCACACCCCTGCTTGTGTTTAAAAAAGACTTCTTGACTACTACGAGATATAAAGAAGAGATCTTAAAGCCCTATATTCGATTTTTCAGGAGCGCCGTTGGTTTTGAGTTCCTGTAAATGGACGACAACGGTCTTCTATATAGGGCTCAGCTGACCGGCGATTATCTGTAAAGTGAGGATATTCGTCGCATGGACTGATCAGCCAGACCTCCTTACCTTAACCCTATACAGCATATCTTGGACCCTCTTTGGAGGCAATTTCATCTGGCTATCTTCCTCCAAAAATCATCTCGAAGTTGAAAACTGCCTTGCTGCAGGAGTGGGATCGACTGTCTCCTGTCCAGTATGCCGTTATGCTGCGTAACCTATCTGGATGTGAGAGAGTACCATATCCTGTATTAAACTCATTTTCAGTTTTATATCATAGAGTGGATTTTGGATATCCCTGCAATATGGGCTTTACTGACAGTCATGCGTACATAAAATGACTTCTGAACGGCATTTGTTTCTCTGCTATAAATGCTATTAATACCAAATTTCATTAAAATCTTGCCGTTAGAAACTCAACATAATATGCAAATTCTCTTAATTTTGCAGACGTGTGTAGTTATATGGAAACTGTTAGAGCTCTCGAAGCATGAAACGTAAAACATCACGCTTTCTTTTACTGAAATTCCAATTACGGGTCTTCCAGTGCTAGATGAGTGTGCTAATCAGTTACATCACAAGAATGTGTATAGAGGAATATGATAATATTTTTTAAGCTTTAGACTTAAAATGAAGACTATATTATTAATTGTAAGGACAGTTCTTTTTCTGGTATAATTTCGAGTATTATCACGCAAGCGCAGCTGCGCGAAATTAGTATGCACAAAGTTAACATAAAAGTGTTCGAGTTTTAGTAAAAAAGAAAAAAAAAAAAAAAAAAACATACATACCTTCATTTGCCTTTCTATGAAAATCCCAAATTTTTCATAATTATCACCTTTTATTCGAAGTTTTCAATTATATTAGGTTTACTTAAAACACCATATTATTTTTAAGTCAATTCTTTCCTATAAAACCTGTTCCTTCCATTAGTCTTCACCAAAATGCAAATTAGGTCAAGCTTAACTAACAAAGGAATGTATAATTTAGGAAAAGAGCTTCGATTACACACCAGCAAGCAGTTTATTTTCGGGAACCGTCCTCTTCTTTGCAGATTTGATTTTAGTAAATCAATTTTTTTATATTTGCTAGCCTGTTAAACCTAGCCAAAACTGGGTTACTTATACATTAAAACTATTTGTTGTGTTGTATATATTTAAGCATTTATTTTTTAAGATCCTTCAGCTAGCGAAGGATGAATTTTGTTTAGTTGTACTTATAAGATGCAGTGTTAATCAATATTTAGTTTAAATTTTACTTTTCTTGTAATTTAGAATTCTAATTAAATGTGAAGAAGAGATTTCATCTGAATGCAAAATGTTTAAACAGGTTGTAGTTAATAAGTAATTAGGTTTTTAACGTTACAAACTAAATTACAATTAACGTTTGTTATGATACTAGAATAAACAAGACGCGCTTTAAAATTATTTCGTGACCAAAGGAAAAAAACAATTGAACAATATCGTATCTTATTAATACTTTACTGCTTACTGTTACGCTTTATTTTTTTACCACACAGATGAAGTTTTTACACTGGTTAGGCTAGATTTTTGATTCCCTCCATTTGCAAAAAATAGATATTCTTTTTGAGCATCTAACTTTCACATAAATACATTTCTCAGGATTTGTACCCGCAGTGATATGCTTACCAAAGATAGAGAGTATTTTTAGAGCAATCATCGAAGGCAGAGGTACATTCGTGACGCAGCAATGCCACGCAGAAAATACCCCATAAGCACGCACAGTCGTTGATCACTGAATGTTGAGCAGAAGATAAATACGGTGTTTTGGAGTAATCGTTGACAATTTTGTGTTATTATTTTATTTCCAAAAATAACATGAAATGCATTGTAAAGAAACGCTGTTTTTGTTTTGTCTTAAACTATGATTCGTGAAATAGTTTTATTGAGCAGCACCAATGGCGAAGATTAATTTTCCATTTTACTAACAGACAATATACTGCTCCAGCTCTCGTATGTGAGAGAGTATGAAATAATACCTCATTTTACTTAAAAGATGCTAATAAATTCTTACTGTATATGCAATAATGTTTCTAGCGTATTAATTAAAAGAAGAGCGAAGGCTCTGAAGTAGATTAAGTTAAGTAGGTTTATGGATTATTTAATCATAGGAAAGCATAAAATCGTGTTGAAGAAGAAGCAAGTTGAATACGTAGGAAAAAGAAGGTTGCAAATTAATGAATAAATTAAATAGTATGTTAAATGATTAATATATATATAATATATATACAATTCAATATGAGGATAATTTTATATATATATATATATATAAAAAAGTCGCTTTCTCTGTCCCTATATCCCTATGTATGGCTTAAATCTTTAAAACTACGCAACGGATTTTGATGCGGTTTTTTTTAATAGATAGAGTGATTGAAGAGGAAGGTTTATATGTATAATAACATCCATTAAATAGTGGAGAAATACTGTTATTTTTGAGGTTTCTAATGTGATGTCGTAAATAATTACATTTTTTCCGCTTACATTGCAAACGCAGGCTGAACCCTACGAGATTTATCAAAATAATGTACTAAGTATTGTACACATTGAAAAGGTCTACAGATTTAAAAATTGCGGGACGTAGCGTTTGCGGCGGTACCGGCCGGCCGGGGCGGCGGGAGCGTGCCTATAAATAGCGCGTCGGAGGCCGCGGTTCTCCCTATAGCACTTTGAATTTAGCAGCGATCGGACGCGTTTATTATCGGAGCTCTCTAGCGAGGAAAATAACAATATACTTAATAAAATGTGCTTTTTCAGGGCGACAACGTATCAGTAATTATTCATAATAACGTATAGTAAGTTACGATAAATAATTGTATGATAGTAGTTTTAAAATATAAATGATATTCTATTCTAAGGTTAATTTTTAAATCGCGCACTTATAGTAATTATAAGTACATAAGGTTAGATAAGATTAGATTAAATAAAACCATAATTTATGGATTGGAATTTTCTATTAAGATCTTGGTTAAAATTTAGAGTTAAATCAATTTAATATTAGGGAAATTATTTTCAAAAATCGTAATTTAAGGTGAGGTATGTAAGTTCAGAAAAAGAACTTAATAGAATACGTATCTTTTTTGTTGATGTTGTTATCTTTTGTTATGCACGAATACAAATTATTTTTACGCCATGACTTACGTCAGAAATTACGGCAAACCTGATTTATTTATAACTGCAACATGTAACCCAAATTGGCCGGAAATCAAAGAAAATATTAACACCAATTTAACTCCACAAGACAGATACGATATAGTTAACAGAGTCTTCCATTTAAAAGTACAGAAAACTCCTGCACCTAATTAACAAGTCTCATATATTCGGTCCGCCACGCTGTCATATGTACACAATAGAATGGCAGAAACGTGGCTTGCCACATGTACACCTGCTGGTGTGGTTAGTGAACAAAATTAGACCAAACCAAATTGACAGGGTTATTTCAGCTGAATTACCGGATAAAGATGAAGATCCTATCCTGTACGAAATCGTAAAGAAACATATGGTACACGGCCCTTGCGGGACTTTAAACCCGAATTCTCCATGTATGCGAGATTCTAAATGCAGCAAAAAATTTCCGAAGTCGTTCCAAACTCAAACAAGTACTAGCGATGACGGATATCCCAAATATCGTCGACGATCGCCAGAACAGGGTGGGCAAAATGGTACCGTCCGAAACCATGATATTGATAACCGATGGATCGTTCCCTATAATCCGCTCCTTTTGAAAATTTTTGATGCCCACATCAACGTAGAGTTGTGCAATTCAATTCAATACGTTACTAAGTACATTAATAAAGGCAGTGATCAAGCCACTTTCAGCATACAATCACCAAATGAAGTGGAAAAATATCAGTCTGGATGTTACATCTGCAGCTCTGAAGCTGTATGGAGGATTTTATCATTCGAAGTGCACGACCGGGCTCCCGCAATTGTTCACCTTGCAGTTCATTTAGAAAATGGACAAAGAGTATATTTCACTGAGAACAATATACAAGAAGTTGTTAATAACCCGCGGGATACAACATTGACAGCATTCTTCAAGTTATGTGCTCAAGATGATTTCGTGAAAAACACTGACATATGACAGAGTTCCAAATTACTATACATGGAACCAGAGGTCTAAAACATTTCAACGGCGAAAACAAGGTACTGCGGTTGATGGTTTCCCCGGAATAAAAAAACGAATGCTCTTGCCAGAGTCTACGTGATTCATCCCAACGACAGCGAATGCTTTTATCTGAGAATGTTACTGCATATTGTAAAAGGCCCGACATCCTTTGCACACCTAAGAACTGTACAAGGTGTTGTTTATATACTTATCAAGCAGCATGCAAAGCTATGGGGCTCTTGGAAGACGATTCTCACTGGGAAAACACATTATCGGAAGCAGCTGTTTGTAGTTCAGCTACATCATTAAGATATTTATTTGCCGTCATAGTAGCGTTTTGTCAAGTAACTGATTCTGTTAATCTATGGAATAAATTTCAAGAAAATATGGCCAGTGATATTCTGATTCGGCGACGGCGAGAGTTAAACTCAGATGATGTACAATATGATCAAAACATATTTGACGAAGCATTATTTGAATTGAACAAAGTAGTGCAATTACTTTCGGGTAAATCGATCAAGGATTTTGGGCTGCCGATGCCAGCTAATACTACTAACTCAGATTTAACTAACAGTGCCGAATACACAAGAGAAACATCATACGATCAAACGAGACTTTTACAAAATATAGCTCAAGATGAGCCACGATTAAACATCGATCAGAAAAAAGTATTCACTGCATTACTATCAACAATTGATAACAATGAAGGGAAATTGTTTTTCCTTGATGCCCCAGGAGGTACAGGAAAAACATTTTTAATCAATCTGCTTTTAAAAAAAGTGAGATCTACCGGAAAAATTGCGTTAGCTGTTGCGTCATCCGGCATTGCCGCTACGCTTTTGGAAGGAGGCCGAACCGCACACTCTACATTCAAGCTCCCGCTGAAAATCGCCACCGATGATAATAACAGCGTCTGTAGTGTTTCTAAACAGAGCAATACAGGAAAATTTATGCGTGACTGCTCATTAATAGTCTGGGACGAAGCTACCATGTCAAACAAGACGTCTGTGGAAGCACTGGATAGGACAATGCGCGATTTGCGCAACAAAAATTCACCTATGGGTGGATGTACAATTCTGTTCTCAGGAGATTTCCGTCAAATCCTACCAGTTGTGACTCGAGGAACACGTGCTGACGAAATAAATGCTTCCCTAAAAAGATCCAACCTTTGGCCACATGTCAATAAATTAGATCTTAAAACTAATATGAGGGTTTCGTCACCTTCACGTGAGAACAGGCTATTTCCAGAAATGCTGATAAAAGTTGGCAATGGAGAGTTAACACAAAGTGAGGAAAAGATTAACCTAGAAAACCTTTGTGTTTCGATAGACAACATCCAAGAGTTAGTCAACAATGTCTATCCTGACATTGATAACATAAGTTATAAGACAATATCTTGGTTTAAAGAGCGATTCTGTCACCAACTAACGAACAAGTAGATAAGGTAAATAACTTGATTCTTTCAAAGATTGATGAGCCGACGAAAATATACTACTCGGTCGATACTGTTCTCGATTTGGAAGAAGCTGTTCATTTTCCTACAGAATTTCTAAACTCTTTGAACCCGTCTGGACTCCCTCCTCACAAAATAGTGTTGAAAGTAGGTTGTCCTGTTATTTTATTAAGAAACCTGAATCCACCTAAACTTTGCAATGGCACGCGTTTGCTGGTAAAATCACTGAAAACTTTCATAATAGAGTGCACAATACTCACAGGATGTGGTACCGGAGAAGATGTATTGATTCCCCGAATCCTTCTGATACCATTGGATTTACCCTTCCAATTTAAACGTTTACAGTTTCCGGTAAAGACATCTTTTGCAATGACCATTAATAAATCGCAGGTCAAACCTTCAACGTTGCAGGCTTAGATTTGAGCGTTGACTGTTTTTCACACGGCCAACTGTATGTCGCTCTTTCAAGAGTAACCTCTAGAGAAAACATGTTTGTATTGTCTAATGACAAGAAAGCTGTGGACGTTGTATATAAAGACATTCTGTAATATACTAATTGTTGTAAAAATAAAATAAATAGGTAAAAATGTAAAAAGTAAATAAGTAAAAATGTAAAAAGTAAATAAGTAAAAATGTAGTGTATGAATTTAGATATTCCAAAGATAGCAGGAAATCTTCATGGTATAGGGAAAGGGGAATTGTTTTACTCCAAATTTAACGCGTGCGGGCCACGGGCAGTAATGAATAAATCAAAACTACTGGATCGATTTTAATCATTTTTTCAGTGAGTGACATAAGTTATATATTTTATACCCGTGCGAAGCCGGAGCGGGTCGCTAGTATATATATATATAAAAGAAATAATTGTGAGTTTGTCTCAGTTCATATTGTTGCGTACATACGGATTCCTAAGAGATTAAATGCACACAGGTCTGATGATAGGTGGAGAAAATTTATTTTATCAACAGAAACACTTCAAACTTCTGGAATTTTCCAGAGAAATACTCGTACAGATGTTTACAGTATCACAAAGTACAATCAGTAATTACGCTTCAAACTACTGAGAATGTTGCACACAACGCAATGCAATGAGCATCGAAAGATAAAGCTAATCCGATCTCACGCTGAACTAACAACTCGCACCAATAACAACAACTAAACAACTGAGAGCTGATGCTCTCTGTTGGAGGTTATATAGTTTTCAACCGGCCGCCGAAATATTTCTAGTAGTTTCTGTGCTTTTTAAATCTATTCCTACACTATTCTAGAGGTATTTCTTAGGATTTTATTGTTCTTTGGGAAAAGAATCATCTGTTTGTGTTCCATAATACTCGATTTTATATTTTTTGCTCCATTCTTCAGTCACGCGCTTAGCTTTACTAGATTAATAAAATATAAGATATTATTTATAAGAGACTAATATTCCAAAGAAGACGGCCAAGTTTGATCCTTTGATGACGTCTTTGAAATAACGCTGAGAAATTCGTGCACCACCTCTATTCAGTTCTATTACTGTATTTCGTAGGTAGTCTGCATGTCTAATATTGACATTATAAGTGGTGACGCCTCTAAAATTGAACAGTTATATGCTGCCAGGGAACTTCTCCTTATTTGCGATCGTCTCATTATCCTGCAATGAATCAAAGCCCAGGTAGGACACGAGGGAAATGAAAAGGCTGACATGTTGCAAAGATAGGAACAACACACACCTTCCGAGTTACGGGACATATTCCCAAACTAGAGTAAACACTAGAGAAATCTTAAAATAAATGCCGACAATAGCTGCAAAAATACGGAATACAGAGACAACGAGAAGAATCACCATGACTTATTTTTCACTTGCCTCATTAACCCTAAAATCAGAAAGTGCCGTGCTGATCCAACTGTACACTGAATACTGCCCGACAGCAGCCTATTTACATAGGTTCGGCTTTAGATACTCGAAAGCTTTTTTAACTTTAATTTATATTTTAACTTTAGTACACTTCCTCCTTATAAATCATTATAGTAATATTGTAATAGACGCATTCATTAAAGTTACAAAAAAGATTAAATTAATATGTTACAAGTGTTATACCCACAATAGTAATAATAGTCTAAATGCGAAAATTAATGTTGTATTGAGAAATTAATATAAATCTGACCATCAAAGACGACGATAGACGCGTTATATTGCAATTAAACATACTAGTACTGTTATTAATAATATTTTCATACTTTTCGACTCAATTCTTCCGAACAGCTTCGTATTTCTTCTAGCTATGCATTCGGACATAACCAGAGATTATGAAATACCATCTGCTCAGTATGTGAAAAGGAAAAACAAATTGGTCACTAAATGAGTTTCTCTGTCTACTCAATCAATCAAAATTATTGATCGTAATACAATGGAAAAGTAATGGAAGTCGTTGCATAAAGCCACAAAAGTTGTTAACATTATGAAAAAGAGGCTGAGAAGCGTCGCATTATTTAGCCTATTAAATTAAATAAATAATAGCCTGTTAAAAAGTGTTTTAAACTACATGCTTTATTCTGGGGAAGCCCATGGCTTCACCAAATGGTCATTATTCAGTGATTAACTAGAGAGATTTCACTGGTTTTTTTTTAAATGAATTTTATCTCTGAACTTTTTTTCTTGCAAGAAAATATGAATAAGTTGAAAAGAATGCATACTTTTTGAGTTACCATCAGATTTTCGTTTATGGCTTAACTTTTGGAAACTAGTGTAATTACTCTCGCTATTACAACCATTAATATGTATTCTGGTGAAAAACGACAGAAAAACGGAAAGGGCAAAATTAGCATAAAGTGCTTGTTAATTACTTTACAGAATTAAGTAGACTTTACAGTATTGACTTTTTTAAAAAAAAAACTCTATTTAAGAGACGATCATTTCGAAGATTACGAAGCAGCATTTAGAAATTTTGAAAATGTTAAAGTGACTTTGCAAGTATTTTCTAAATATCCCTATATTTTACATTTTTAATTAGTAAGTTCTCTGTTTCAATAAAGGAGATAATTTTAGACAATGTTTACACCATTGTAATACTAAACTTACGAAAAAAACTATTTAGTTAAATTTTCTTATTACCTCTGAAAAGCAATAAAGCATCTCATTTTCCCGCTGGAGTGCTGTGCAGAAGACTTCGCGTGTGTCAGATGTGCGTGCTAGCATTAAGGTCTTTAGTGAATATTAATTAAGCATTGACCTAAATTCACTGGAGAAGGTTTTATTAAGCAAATGATTCTGGATAAAAATAATTAACTAGTACAGCAATTTTGCTTTCATATTAACATATTCGAAGTATGCTTTAATGAAATTGGCAGAAAAAATTACTTATTAGAAAATGTTGCTACCATGGTCTAGCAACTTAAAAAAGACAGTACCTAGAGATATTAAATTATCCAAATAAATAAATAAAAGAAAGAAAGGAAAAAAAGAAAACTAAGGAATTAAATAAACCAGGCATTTCATCTTTATTCTATCATTTCTCTGCTGGTAGATATTAAAATGAAGACGAGG